CTCCCTCCTCATCCGCCCTTCTCCCTGGAGCTCGAAATATAACGAAAATGGTGGGCGCAATGGCTCTGGAGCCCTGGAGCCGTTCTAAAAAGGAATGCACGTAAGCAGCCACACGTCATCAACATCGTCGTTGGCATCGCCTGCAAATGGATGCACGTCATCGGAAGCATCCTGCAACACATGCTCGTCATCAACACGTCGTCGGTGGCATCAGCATAGTTGTCGGTTGCAACGCATAGTTGTCATCAGCATCGTCATCGGCATCACCTGCAAAACGATGCATGTCATCACCATCGTCAACGGAAGCATCTTGCAACACAGACTCGCCATCAACGTCGGCATTGGCATCATCTTCGCCAGTGTAGTCGGAAATGTCTTGCAACACATCTCCTTAAAGGCTCCTTCAGGGCTTATTAAGGGCACCTCAAGGGCTCCCGAACGGCGCCTTATAGAGCTTTCAGGAGCTCGGGCGCCCTGAAGGAGCCCATACCGGGCCCGTCAGAAGACCGTACGGAGCGATTAGGAAGTCTAAGAGCTCGCCCTTCGAAGGACGGACAACCCTCCATCGAGCGGGCAAGCTGCAAGCTGGCTGGTTAAGAGCTCCTTGAGGGCGCCTCAAGGCGCCTTCAGGGCTCCTTCACGGCTCCTTAACGGTTCCTTACGGGCTCTTTAAGGGCTCCGTAAGAACTCATCGAAGGCTCCTGAAGGGCCCCTTTGGGGCTCCTTAAGAGCTCCTTCAGGGCTCCACAAGGGCTCCTTAAGAGCTCTGTAAGGGCTGCTACTTAAAAGGCTCCCTACGTGTTCCTCAAGAGCTAGCTCCTCAAGGACTCCTTAGACCTCCGTAAGGGCTCCTTGAAAGTCTCCATAAGTGCTCCCTAAGGGCTCGCTAGGGGCTCCTGAAGGGCTCCCTGGGGAGCTCCTCGGGGACCTTCAGGGCTCACCAAGGGTTCCCCGAGGGCTCCTTAGGCCCTGGACAGTTCCTTAAGGGCTCCTAAGGGCTCCTTGAGAACCCTTTGAGGGCTCCTCGAGGAGCTTTTATGGAGCTCAGGAACCACGAAGGAACCCTCAAGGAGCCGCTTAAAGAGCATATAAGTAGCTTGTAAGAATTCGAGGGGCTCGCCCTCCGTAGGGCGAGCAGGCCTCCATAGAGCGGGCAGGCTGAGCTCCTGCAGGGCCCCTTCAAAGGGCTCCTTCTGCGCTCGCCAAGGGCTCCTTGGGGGCCCCATTGAAGGCTCCTGAAGAGCTCCCTGAAGGGCTCCTTAAGGGCATCCCAGGGGCTCCTTGGAGGCTCCTTCGGGAGCTCTTTGAGGAGCCGCCAGGGCTCCTTTGGGGGCTCTCTAAGGGCTCCCCAAGGTCCCCGTGCGTGTTCCATCCTCGCCCTACTGGCAGCAGCAGCGCGCCAGGCCAGGGGGCGCCCGCATCCAAGAGCCCGGGAGCGCAGGCACCACCTGTGTGTGTGCGCGTCAGCGTTGTCATCGTCATCACCGAGAGGCCGAGCATCCTCCGCAGTACGAAAACGTAAGCATGTCTCGGGCCGCTGCCTCCTCAGAGCGTTCTGGAACGCGCTGGAGCGGATTTCTCCTCGTCCTGGCCCCTCGTTCGAAATCGAGCATTATCCGTGCGTCGCAGCATAAGGTTCATCATCGTTGTCACCATCCTCAGCCATCTGAAGCCGCAAGCACGAGTGGGGGGGCCATGCCCCCGAGCCCCTCCAAAACAGCCCCTTACCATCGTCCCCTGTGCTCCCCGTCGTCCCGGCAACACTTCGGGGGACCGGAATTCCACCGCCGTCGAGCGAGTTGTACGTTGATCGTCGGCCACAAATTCCCTGCGTTTACATGAGAGCGGCGGGTGGTGATGATTCGCCGTCGGCATCTTCGATGAGGAGAAGTGAGAGGGCGAACTCACTGATCTGAGAGCCACAAGCTGTCTCTGTCACTCTCACCCGCCCTCCCACGACATAATGGCGTGCCGCGGTGGCCACCCGATGGGCCGCTATTGACACAGCCAACAAGGACGCCAAGAGTACAATGCGCGCAGGTGAGCTACGCGTGCCAAGTGCGCCACGCGCAGCAAGTGCGCCAGGTGCTCCAAGCGCGGGCGCCAAGCGCGCCTGGTGCGTCAGGTGCGCACACATGCACCACGTGTGCCACGTACGCCACGTGTGCACGACGTAGGCAGACTGCGCTAAATGCGCCAGCGTCCATGACAGCCCACATCGGGCAATACTTCAACACCCAGGCCAACCCTGACAATAGCCCGTGCACCGTGACGTGCTCCTCCTACTCCGCCTCCCCCCCCTGCGCCTCCTCGTCCCCCGCATCCCCCTCCTCCTGCAGGAGAGGGAGGAGCAGGAAGAATGTTGACCATCCAGCACTGACACCCCTACCACTGGAATTCCACCTTGCCAGCTAGCCGTTAGCCCAGCACGCCCCAGCGGGTCCTCGAGGAAGCGGTCGTCGTCGGCCTGGGTCGAATGGTGTTTCCCGCCTTCTCCCCCTTCTCCCCTCCCCCCTCATTCTCTCCCCCTCCCCCTCCCTTGCGACTTACCCTCGACCTCTCCTCCCCATCCCCCCTCCTCCTCCCTCTCCTCCCCCCCCGGTCGCTCGCACGAACCCCCCATCTCTTCGCCTTTCCCACCCCGACCCCACACCCGCACGCCCTTCTAACCATCCCCGTCCCATCTCCGCCTCCCCATCCACTCTGCCTCCCCCTCCGCCTCCTCCTCCTCCTCCTCCTCCTCCTCCTCCTCCTCTTCCTCCTCCTCCTCCTCCGCCTCCTCCTCCTCCTCATCCTCCTCCTCCCCCTCCTCCCCCTCCCCCTGCGCTTCCTCAGTACGCCTCCGCCGCCCTCCCTCCTCACTCTGCGCAAGCGCTGCTCCCGGACTGGTTTGGAGGCGAATGGAGGGCGGGGCAGCGCCGTGCGAGATCGGCACGGAGGCTGCACAGTGCGGGGAGGGATGGGCTCCAAGAGTCTCGGACGCTTCGGAGGCGTGTCGGACGCCCTCGCGTGCGTCTAGAAGCATGCGGAAGCATCGGCGGGCTTCTTCGGGGAGTCCTAGAAGGATCTTGAAGGGGGGGAAAGACAAGGGAGGAGGAGGAGGAGGAGGAGGAGGAGGAAGAGGAGGAGGAGGAGGAGAAGGAACGAGGAGGAGGAGGAGGAGGAGGAGGAGGAGAAGGAACGAGGAGGAGGAGGACGACGACGACGAGCAGGAACAGGAGGAGGAGGCAAGAATGCGGAGAACAACAAGGATAGAGAGGGGGACCGTTAAGCGGACGATGAAAAGCGGACAGGGAGGAAAAGAGGCGCGCACCACCTGGCGCGACGGGAGATCCGAGGCGCGGGTAGCTAATATATGGAGAGCCCTCCAGGGGGAGGGACTTACCAGGACCTGGAAAGAAACGCAAGGCCCTGGTCAGTACGGGGGGGGGGGCATCACATGTTTGCAACACCTACCACGACCAGGCGGCCGAGGCGGCACCCGACAGGCCCCCCCCCCCATTAAATCGGCTCAAGTGGCTTCCCCGTTCGCGGGTGGAGGCCACGGGACGCATACTTAATCTTGGTCGCCTGGGAACTCCGTGTCGACGGGTGCTGGGAACGACCAAGACAACGCTTCTCAAGCCCACGCAAATTACCCCCAGGAAGGATGACGTGGGCCGAGCACAACGTACAAAAGGCCACTCGGCCTGCCTGCTCCATCTGGTGGCCCAGGGACACAAACCGAGCGGAGGAGGAAGAGGAAAAGGAGGAGGAGGAGGAGGAGAAGAAGGGGAGGAGGAGGAGGTTGAGCCACAGGAATCAGAGCACAAACTGAAGCAGGCGACAGGCGGAGGAGCATCGGCAGCAGCAGGCACCCTGGTCGGTGGTTGCCGCAGGCCGTGCCCCACACGCGCGCCGCCCGAGAGAGCGGGGCGCACGCGCGCAGATGCCCGCGCTCCTCCTTCCAAACGTCGCCGCGCCACTCTACGCCATCTCTCGCAACCAGCATCACCATCAGCATCATCATCAGCATCATCATCAGCAGCAGCATCATCAGCAGCAGAATCGTCATCATTAGCATCATCGGCAGCATCATCAGCAGCAGCAGAATCATTATCATCAGCAGCATCATCACCACAATCATCATCATCATCATCAGCGTCATCATCATTATCATCATCATCATCATCATCACCATCATCATCATAATCAGCCGCGTCAGCATCAGCATTAGCATCAATATCATCATCATCATCATCATCATCATCATCATCATCATCATCATCATCATCATCATCATCATCATCATCAGCATCATCAGCATCATCATCATCATATCACCACCATCAGCATCAGCAGCATGCTCTTCCTCCTCCTCCACCGCTTCCCCTCTCTCTCGCTTTCTCTCTCTCTCTCTCTCTCCCTCTCCCTCTCTAGCGCGCCGCCATTGGGAACGCAGGCCCTTCACAAACCACGGGTTGCACCATCCGCGTGTTTCTCCATAGGTTGCTCAGTGGTCCATCAATGGGTTGCGCCTACTCTGGTTGCGTTGCCGGTTGCGCAATCGGCAACCGAGAGTAAAGCGGCCTGATGTCGGTTGCGCAGAGGGTTGCGCAATACCTTACGCACTCGGCGGCCGAGAATCACACGGCCTGCTACGTGTAGCGGCCAAAACTACAACTTCGACAGCCGAGAATAAAACGGCCTGCAGTTGGTTGCGCCATGAGGTCCGCACTCGGCGACCGAGAGCCTAACGGCCTACCATTGGTTGCACCATCGGTTGGGTACTCGGCGGCGGATACGGAAAACGGCCTGAAACGATCAGATACACGAGCGAAATGTCATCAGCAATTTCCACGGAAACGGAACCGACATTGCGTGAGACAGGCGATGCACGAAGTAGGCAGCGCGGTTACCAAGATCGCCCAGGGAGGAGAGGAAGGAAGAGGAGGCGAGGAGGAAGGCCCGTAGTACTGACCCGTTTTCGGGGCGGACCCGTGGCGACGAGAAGCCTCCAGGAGGCCCAGCAGGGATGAGAGTCGCCAGAGAGGGCTGCTGCTGTCTCAGCCGGCCCTCCTCCGAGTTTGAGAAGCCTTCTCCCCAGGCATCCGATACCTCCTCCTCCTCCTCCTCCTCCTCCTCCCTCCTCCTCTTCCTCCTCCTCCTCCTCCTCCTCCCTCCTCCTCCTCCTCCTCCTCCTCCTCCCTCCTCCTCCTCCTCCTCCTCCTCCTCCAACTCCTCCTTCTCCTCCCTCCTCCTCCTCCTCCTCCTCCTCCTCCTCCTCCTCCTCCTCCTCCTCCTCCTCGGCTGCCTCGAAGCTGGCCCTCCTCCCATCAAGGTCCCCCTGCGGTCATCGCAGGGCGGCCCCAAGACAATGGCGGTGCCCCGCACGGTGCCAGGAGTGGGCCCCAACGGGTGCCCACATATTATTCGGCTTATACCCATGCGATGTGTGTTTCGTGATTGCTCTCCTGGCCGTCCTGCCGTTCCTGCTGATGCATAGATATATCATATGATAGAATATAACATAATAGAGTACCATAAAAATACATTACACTACCATATAAAACAAAGCACGTGCATATTATATAATATGATGACTTATAATATACTATAGTGTGATGTGATGTGATATGATACCATATAATATGATATAGTACCATATAATGCACTCTAACAGAATACAGTATAATACAACGTGCTATAACGCCATATAACAGAATAGAACATGATATAATATGATATGAAATGCTATGAAATGATATGATGTGGTATGGCATAAAAAACATACAATATGCCCGAGTATAACAGAACGTACTCGTATGTATTATCATATACGATATTATAATATAGGATAATAAGGTATAACATGCTATATTCTAATATACTATAAAATGATACCATGTGACATAATATAACAAAATATATTATCAGAATGGATATGCTATAACACACTAAATTAGTATACATGTAATGTGATATAATGGCATGATGAACTATACTAAAAACATAGTATAGTTCAATACAACACCATATAACATAACATCGTACAATGCAATACAAGAATATACAATACACTATACTATATTCTACTAGATGGTAATATAACATATTACAATATGCTATGGTAATATGTATGTACATGTATATGTATATTGATGTATATGTATATATATATATATGTGACACCAGAGCGAATCGCGCCCCTCCATGTCTGGATCAAGTTCGCGCCCATTCGGGATCCCCACACATGCGGCTGCTCCAATTTTTGTTCGATGCGTGCGCTCCGAAGTCCAGGCCACCTCCCTAGGGCCAGCTTTTCGTCCTGAACACATTTTTGACGCTCCCGAGGCCCTGGCGAGGGCCCCCAGAGGTCGCAAGCGGCCAAAAACCGCCTGCTCCAATTTTAGTCGGAGCATCGGATCTGTAGGTCTTGGGCCCGCCCTACCGTGACTGCAGCCTCGCCCACCCCACAGGAACCAGTCTTTTTAGACTCCGGCACGTTTACTTGCATGTTTGGGGGGGGGAGCCGAACCTGAAGCAAGCTGCAAACGACTTGCACGTGCGGGAACCACACAAGTCGAAAGGCACTTGCATGCCAGCGTTCGTCTGAAGAGGGGCGAGAAGAGGGGAGGGGGAACGCCATGCAAGTGAACTTGCCCGAATATTTTATATACACATGTGTATATCGTATCATATCGTACGGCCGAAAATCTAGAAGTACCAAAGACATAAAACGACACCATATTATATAAGATAATGTGATGTCATCTACCATATTGCCATTTTGAGATATAGTACAGTATGATTGGGTCTGATATAAAATGTAAAGGAAGAATATAACGACTTACAATACAATATGGTATGATTACATATTCTACGCTGAGGTATGCAATGGTAACCGTTGAAAAACCTATCGCATTAAAATATTTAACATGATAAACAATAGTATGGCAATACTGTTTACATATAACTGGATACGCTCTAGCATAATATAACATGATCCTAGTTACTATGATATGGAAGATAGCATAAAGCACCATACAACACCATACAACACAACATAGTATGCTACACTATATTATAAAATGGCGAAAGCTCGTACAATACAGTCTACTATAATACTGTATGTAATGATATAAGATAACGGAATGGAGCTTCATACAACGTAATCAAAAATTGCACAATGAACTACACTATATAGCATGATGTATGCTGCACTGTGAGTTGCTATATTAGTTGATGACATCTACCAATAGCACAGGATACAATACGCTATGGTATGGTATACCATGAAATGCCATGTGGTATTATTCCAGACAGTATATGTATATACATATACCTATATATGTACATATATATATACATGTGTAAATTATACCAGATTCCTGGATCTTGGGCCCACCCTGCTGTGACTGCAGCCTCGCCCACCCCACGGGCGGCCTGGTCGTCGCCGTCCGGCAGGCACGGGTTCTGCACCAGCAGGCGCAGCGGCGGTTCGGCACCCAGGCGCCGCGCCTCGGCGCGCGGGCACTCGAGGGCTGATGCTCCTGCGGCTGCTTTGCTTCTGCTCTCCTCCATGGATAACCTCTCCCTCCTGCCCCTCCTCCTCCTCCCCCCCCCTCCTCCTCATCATCATCCTCCTCCTCTCCTCCTCCCTCCTCCTTTTCCTCCTCCTCCCCCTCCTCCTCATCCTCCTCCTCCTCCCTCCTCCTCCCTCTTCTCTCCTCCTCTCCTCCTTTCCCTCCTTCTTCTCCTCATCCTCCTCCTCCTCCTCCTCCTCCTCCTTTCCTCCTCATCCTCCTTCCCTCCTCATCCTCCTCCCCCCTCCTCATCCTCCTCCCCCCTCCTCATCCTCCTCCTGCTCCCCGCTCCTCGCACCCATCCTCCTCAACCTTCAGCTCTCGGGGCTGGGCCTGGAGCCTGGACGGCGCTGGATGGACTTCTTGGATCGGAGCTGGATCTGGCGGCGCCTCTGGCGCCGCCAGGGAAGGGGGCCCAGCGCCGATCCAAGGAAAGCCGCCCGGGCCACCAAAAACTCGTGCGTAACCAGATCTCCGACAGTATGATCGTTTCAATCCTGGCGTTTTTTCTCGAGTTCGGCCTCTGGCGCCCGTCATCGGGCCTCGGGGCCATCAAACACAATTTGTTGTTTGTTCCGCGGGTCGAGAGCGAGCCTCTTCCGGTCGAAGCTAAGCGGGCCGCGCGCAGCTTTAATTGACAAAGGGAGGAAAACAGAAGGAGGGGCCTCACGTCAAGGCCAAGAGAGGGCAGGGGCCATCAAACACAGATCCGGGACGACAGCACTAACCCCGGGAAGTCTATATGCCCATTGCTTCTTCGATTCACACGAGCGTGCATGTTGTGGCAGCCATCTAAACATGGCAGCCCCTGGCGCGCTCCGCGCACCATGGAAGGGTGAAGGGGGACGTTAGGTTAGGGAGGGAACTTAGAGAGGGAACGGCTCAGGGGGGGGGAAAGCATCGAGCTGGAATCGGCGATGCACCGCCGATAGATCGGCGATACGCCAGCGATAGCGGATCTTCCCATTCCTGGGCGGAGCGGGCTATCAGGCCCTTGTCGGCGATGGATGGGCGATTCGGGGCCAATATGCATTCCCCCCCGGCACTATCCCCTCTCACGTCATCCCTGACAGGGGGGTCCAGCGCCGACCCGAGAAATATCTGCGCGGACCTCCGAGTCACAAGCCCAGAATGCATCCACGGCGCCGCGATAGCGGAAGACGCCACTGCAGAAGCACAAACTTTCGGAGGTCCGCGCAGATTCCTTGGATGGATCCGTGCTGGCCCCCCCCCCCAGGGCGGCGCGTCTGGCGCCGCCCCCGGGCGGCGCTCGGCGCGCCGTGGAGAGCGCGCCCGCTCCGAGAGATCCTCCGCGGAGGCCTCGCCGCAGCGAACCGCAGGGCACGGCCGTGGCCTGCGGCCCGGAGATCAGGGGCTCACCGCCGAAGAGTGCGGCCTGCAGGTACAGTCGGGGCGTTGACCTAAGGAACCCTAGATAAGGAACGGGGCCCCTTTCTCCCATAAGTTCAGCCTCGATGTCCTATGGAAACCCTCAGGAAAACCCGAGGCAAACTTTGAAACAATCAAGGAACACCGAGCCCCTCCCCAACGAAAAGGGTTCCTTCTTCTGCGCCCCGACTGTATCAGAGGCCACGGGGACCACGCCGCGGCCGACCTCCACGCATCGGCCCCTTCGGCCTCCTCCGCTGGGTGGGTTGCCCCAGGTCTGCACACGGGGACCTCCGAGCACGGGGACCTACAGTCGGGGCGCTGAAGAAGGAACCCTTTTCGTTGGGGAGGGGCTCGGTGTTCCTTGATCGTTTCAAAGTTTGCCTCGGGTTTTCCCGAGGTTTTCCATGGGAAATCGAGGTTGAACTTATGGGAGAAAGGGGCCCCGTTCCTTATTTAGGGTTCCTTAGGTCAACGCCCCGACTGTATCCGAATGACAAGCCCGGGGTGCGGCAACGACGCCGCGACAGAGGACGGCACCACTGCACGCCGTCGGAGGGCCGCGCAGATTTCCTGCATCGGGGCCGGGGCTCACCATGGGCGGCGCCCTCGGCCCTGGCCCCGGGCGCGCTCCGAGCGCCAGGGGAGGGGGGCCCCAGCGCCGATCTGAGAAACCCGCGCTGACCTCCGAATGGCAAGCCCAGGATGCACCGTCAGCGACGCTACGATCAGGGAAGAAAAAAAACTGCACCGGCACAGACTTTCGGATATCCGCGCGGACTTCTCGGATCGGCGCTGGGGCGCCGCCCCGGGCCCGCTCCGCGCGCCAGGGAGGGGGGAGGGCAAGGCCGAAATCCTTGCGGACCGCCGAGAATCCATGTGCACACAGATCTCCGACGGCATAACCGTTTCAATCCCGGCTTTTTCCTCGAAGTCGGCCTCCGGCGCCCGTTCTCGCACCCGGGGGCCATCAAATCCGGGGCGAAGACCTACCCCCCGGGGGAGGCGGCTGGAAGCTCTGGAGCCGCGGATTGCAGGAATGAATCGGCAGATGCCTGTCTGACTAGCAACACTTAGCAACAGAAGGAACCCTAACACTTTGGGAGGGCACCTAAATCTAAGCCAGGGGGGCCGCAATCAGTAGGGATAGGGTGTCTTTTCTGCAGGTGCACCGAACCAAACCGCCCAGAAGACTTATGATCTCGAATGCAAAGACGGGGACCTCAGTGAGGCTGCGTCTTCATCGCGTTGTTAGGGTTAGGGGTTCTGTTTCTCCTCGATGAGATGTCGGCGGTGCGTCCGGGGAGGAAGTGAGAGGGGGCAGGCCTTCTCAGACAACGACGCGGCTTCTCAGAAGCCCTCCCTGGCCTCCTGAGGATGAAGGGGCCCTGGGACACACAAATAAATGCACACAAATAGCAGGATTCCCCATATGTTCCCGTACTTTCTGGGTTTTTGTCTTCCCCCCCCCTCCCATATTTTCCCATATGTTCCGGGGAATCGACGATTCATTGTGTCTGAGTGTTTGTTTCCCCTCCTGAGAGGAGCCTCCCCGTGCCTCCGGAGGAGGCTCCCAGCAGACTTCTCGGAAGGCCGGAGGCCTTCCGAGACTTCCGAGGAGGCCCGCCCCACTCTCGGGCACCTGGTGGCTTTTGGGGGTCACGCCTCGGCTCTCCGGTGGCCGGTCGGGGCGCTCCGGGCACCCCCGGAACGCTCCCCGCGAGGCGCGGCAACTGGAGCGCACCCCGAGGGGCTAGAGAAAATCGCAGACAACGGACGAAAACTTTCGAGAACCTCGAACGTCGAACTTCGCCCTGGGGTTAGGTCGGGCATGTCCTCCTACAGGCGAATTGTGGAAGCAAAATGCAACAAAGTCCAAACAATACTCAAACATAATATTCAAAAATAATCACAGACCAAAAAAAACGTCACCAGGCGATTGCTTGACCTATTTTGGAATGCTCCTCCTGCAGAGGGACATGCCCGACGGAGCCCTGGGGCTCGCCGCCGAGCCTGGGCAGACCGTTCCTCTTCCTCGGCGCATAGGCGCCCTCCGTCCCGCGTCGCGCTCCGCACGGGTTCCCCCCCCCCCCCCGCCGATGTCCCCTCCAGTGCAGGGAGCGCCTTCCCCCCCCCCACCTTGAATAAGCAGGCGGGTGGTACTGGAGGATGGCCTACATGGAGAGTGAGGAGGAGGAGGAGGAGGAGGAGGAGGAGGAGGAGGAGGAGGAGGGGTAATGGGGGATGGCCTACATGGAGGGTGAAGAAAAGGGGCCCCAAAGGGGCACTCTCGGGCCCCTTTGGGAGCCAGCGGGGGCCCAAAAGGGGCCATGAAGCGCTCCTTTGGAGCCCCCTTCTCTCTACCCCCCACTTAGGTCACCCCCCATTACCATCAGGTCGCGCTTGTCCTCCTACAGGCGGAGCCTGGAGGAAAAATTAAAAACTGGTCCACAAATAACCAACAGTAGTCCAAAGAGGGCACGAGAAATCGTCCCCTGGCTTGTTTTACTACTCTTGATGATTCCTCCTGCAGGGGGATACGCCCGACTTGACATTACCCACCCGCCCGACGGAGAGGCAGGCGCCCCGTGTGTACGGTTTCCCCCGGGCCGTGGGTGACCCGAGGAGGAGGAGGAGGAGGAGGAGGAGGAGGAGGAGGAGGAGGAGAGGAGGGAGGAGAGGAGGGGGAGGGGGAGGAGGCGGAGGAGGGAGGAGGAGGGGAGGAGGAGGAGGAGGAGGGGAGGAGGAGGAGGAGGGAGGAGGAGGGAGGGAGGGGAGGAGGTGGAGGGGAGGAGGAGGAGGAGGAGGAGGAGGAGGAGGAGGCGGAGGAGGAGGAGGGGGGAGGGAGGGAGGAGGGGAGGAGGGGGAGGAGGAGGAGGAGGAGGAGGAGGAGGAGGAGGAGGAGGAGGAGGAGGAGGGAGGGAGGGAGGGCGGGAGGGAGGAGGAGGAGGGAGGAGGACGGGTCGCCTGAGCCCTTCGGAGAAAGCCTCCAGCCCCCATGTCCCTGGGGTCTCCGGGCCGAGGGCCCCGCTCCGAGAGGGAACCGGCCGCCCACGATGCCGGCAGGGCAGCCAGATCTCGGGGAGACGTAAGACTTAGGTTACGGGGGACGCACAAAGACGTACTAGCACTGTATGTTATCCTTGGAGGCGCGCGTCCGACCCGAACATATAGTATACCCATCTTGTAGTGTATCGTTTCCCGAGCGGTGTGGCCAGAAAGCGCCCGCCACGACGCAGATACTACCAGATTTCTCGGTGCGCACGTCGCCCCTTGGGGGGCGACGCACATATAGTATAAGTATGGTGGGGTGACGCCGATACGGGGGACTCGGGATGGCCCGACGGGGCCATCGTAAAAACGACGAGGCCCAATCTGAAATTTGACGCGAGCTCCCGCTGCAAACGTCCCGCGAAAACTGGACCGTCAAAATCCAGGACGCGCTCGTCAAAAGACGTCGGCAGACCCGAGTTCCGGCTTACTCCAGTCTTACGTTTCCCCGAAGATCGATGGGCAAGAAGAGGACCCCTAACCCTTTGGGAGGCG